AGATCTATTCTGATTCTGCATAAAGAATATGAGTGATTATTCTGAAATTCCTGCCTGAAGCGAAAGGTTTTGTATAGATTAAGGCAGTAGATATAAATAACTTTTTTAGTTGAAGAAAGCATAGTTTTTTAGCCAGTCATGTTGGGAATGCTTCCAGTTCCATGGAGGTCCTGCTAATTTTAGGGTCTTGAGAAACAGGGGAAGCTCTGCCATCAATCTGTACACTAACCAGTTTGCATATCAACTCATAGCTTTGTGAAAATAGATATTTGTTTTTTAGCCCAGCCTTGAAACTTATTCCCTTGTGAGCCATCAGAACGAGCATGGCATCAGTTTTTCACGCCCCCTCATCATCTGCTGTGACCCTTTCTTCTGCCCTTTGCCCAGTTATCGCTACATTTGGTCCCAGATCGCCCAGCAGCCACCTCGGAGCTCTGCTTTCCCTCCCTCTTTCTTCATCTATGAATGAGGCCAAAGTGTGTAATTTTTAACGTGCTTCATGGTTCTAACATTCTGTGATTTATCAGTTATTTTCCTCATCAATTCAGACCTTGTTATACTTAAAATAACTAATCTTTGGTTATAACTAAAGTTAAGAAATTTTTCACCTGAGGAGAGTAGAACTCAGTTATGTAAAGGAAACAAGGTATATAAGTGCCCTGTGCAGAGCCAGATATATCAAGAAATGTAGAGCCTGGGCAAAATATAGATCTATATACACACATGTAGATATATGTAGTTTTTTAAGGGTTTTTTTGGAAGGGGATTGATTGGGAGACAAGAAAAGGAAGAAACTTATAATTTCAAAACTTTTAGGAAGTCAGTACATTATTTTCTTTTCCAGGAAAAGTTAAAACTATTACAAGATTGATTTATTACTGCAAGAGAATTAATAGGGGAAACCTAAGTGTTTGATCAAACCCATATTAACATTTGCCAGGCATGAAATTCCCTAGACATCTAAACTTCTTTTTCCAGAAAAAGGAAAATAATATTTAATGATCTTCAGTAGAGAGACAGGTGCTAGGTGAAGTAAGAATTATATGGATCAGTTCAGTTCAGTCGCTCAGTTGTGTCCGACTCTTTGCGACCCATGGACTGCAGCACTCCCGGCCTCCCTGTCCATCACCAACTCCTGGAGATTACTCAAACTCATGTCCATTGAGTCGGTGATGCCATCCAACCATCTTATCTTCCTGTCATCCCCTTCTCCTCCCGCCTTCAATCTTTCCCGGCATCAGGGTCTTTTCAAATGAGTTAGTTCTTCTCACCAGGTGGCCAAAGTATTGGAGTTTTCAGCTTCGGTCTTCCAATGAATCAGTCCTTGCAGTGAATATTGAGGGTTGATTTCCTTTAGGATGGATTAGTTGGATCTTCTTGCAGTCCAAGGGACTCTCAAGAGTCTTCTCCAACACCACAGTTCAAAAGCATCAATTCGTCTTTATAGTCCAACTCTTATATCCATACATGACTACTGGAAAAACCACAGCTTTGACTAGATGAACCTTTGTTGGCAAAGTAATGTCTCTGCTTTTTAATAGGCTGTCTAGGTTGGTCATAACTTTTCTTCCAAGGAGCAAGCATCTTTTAATTTCATGGCTGCAGTCACCATCTGCAGTGATTTTGGAGCCCCCAAAAATAAAATCTGTCCCCATTGTTTCCCCATCTACATGCCATGAAGTGATGGGACCAGATGCCATGACCTTAGTTTTTCTGAATGTTGAGTTTTAAGCCAACTTTTTCACTCTCCTCTTTCACTTTCATCAAGAGGTTTTTTAGTTCTTCCTCACTTTCTGCCATAAGGGTGGTGTCATCTGCATATCTGAGGTTATTGATATTTCTCCCGGCAGTCTTGATTCCAGCTTGTGCTTCTTCCAGCCCAGTGTTTCTCATGATGCACTCTGTGTGTAAGTTAAATAAGCAGGATGACAACATACAGCCTTGATGTACTCTTTTCCCTATTTGGAACCAGTCTGTTGTTCCATGTCCAGTTCTAACTGTTGCTTCCTGACCTGCATACAGGTTTCTCAAGAGGCAGGTCAGGTGATTTGGTATTCCCATCTCTTTCAGAATTTTCCACAGAATCTATTTGTTTACTTCCACTGTATAATCATAAGGGATTTTATTTAAGTCATACCTGAGTGGTCTTAGTGGTTTTCCCTATTTTCTTCAATTTCAGTCTGAATTTTGCAATAAGGAGTTCATGATCTGAGCCACTGTCAACTCCCCGTCTTGTTTTTACTAACTGTAGAGAGCTTCTCCATCAATGTAATCAGTCTGATTTCAGCATTGGCCCCCTGGTGATGCCCAGTGCAGAGTTGTCTCTCGTGTTGTTGCAGGAGGGTGTTTGCCATGGCCCGTGCGCTCTCTTGGCGAAACTCTGTTAGCCTTTGCCCTGCTTTCTTTTGTATTCCCAAGGCCACATTTACCTGTTACTCCAGGTATCTCTTGCCTTCCTACTGTTGCATTTCAGGCCCCTGTAATAAAAAGGACATCTGTTTGGAGTGATAGTTCTAGAAGATTGTAGGTCTTCATAGAACTGTTCAACTTCAGCATTACTGGTCGGGGTATAGACTTGGATTACTGCGATACTGAATGTTTTGCCTTGGAAACGAACAGAGATCATTCTGTTGTTTGTTTTTGAGATTGCATCCAAGTACTGCATTTCAGACTCCTGTTGACTGTGATCACTACTCCATTTCTTCTAAGGAATTCTTGCCCACAGTTGTAGATATAATGTTCATCTGAGTTAAATTCTCCCATTGCAGTACATTTTAGTTCACCGATTCCTAAAATGTCAACGTTCACTCTTCTCATCTCCTGTTTGACCACTTCCAGTTTGCCTTTATTCATAGACCTAACATTCCCGGTTCCTATGCAATATTGCTCTTTAGAGCATCAGACTTTACTTCCATCACCAGTCACACCCACAGCTGGGTGTTGTTTTTGCTTTGGCTCCGTCTCTTCATTTTTTTCTGGAGTTATTTCTCCACTGGTCTCCAGTAGCATATTGGGCACCTACTGACCTGGGGAGTTCATCTTTTCAGTGTCCTATCTTTTTGCCTTTTCATACTGTTCATGGTTGATGTTACAGTTTCAAAAACGTTGAAGGTGTGAGTGGAGTCATCCTGCATCATATCATCATATCATAAAATAACCAAAGTGAAGTGTTAGGCACTCAGTTGTGTCAGACTCTTTGTGACCCTGGAGACTGTAGCCTGCCAGGCTCCTCTGTCCATGGAATTTCCCAGGCAAGAATACTGGAGTGGGCAGCCATTCCCTTCTCCGGGGCATCTGCCTGACCCAGGGATTGAACCAGGTTTCTTATGTCTCCTGCATAACCACGGAAAACACTAAAACCAACCATGACATTTGCACATTTAACATTTTTTAGACACAGAACGTCATGCTAAGTTTTATTCCTAGAAGTAGAGGGATAATCACAAGACAATTCCAGAATGCAGATTTTTCCATTCAGTTGGTAGGTTTTGTTTTGATTTTTCCAAATCCTATTGAGAGATTTGTACTGACAACTTTATAAACACGTGGCATTTTTTCCAGTACCACTTCTCAAACTCTCTAACGCCAGATAGGTGTCCTCCAGTTCAGTTCAGTTAGGTCGTACTCCACAGGTAAAGGACTCCGTCCCACAGACTGCTCTTGTTTCACATGCCAGTTCCAAGTACTAGGCCTTCAAGTAATTTGTGCTTCTGTCCAACTTGGAGAGGGTCTGGGTTTAGGAATATATGGCTACTCAGAACAATAAGTTGTTACTATGTTGCTCTTTAATTTAGCAGTTTACCTTTTCTATTCCTCATTCTCTCTGACTGCTTCCTACTTCTCCTAGTTATACGTTGTAGCGAGGACAAGGTAATAAGTGTTTTCTTTTGAGTTTTGATAGTAGAATATAATCCTGTCCTTCCTACTTTGCTCCTTGCACATTTTTAAAAAGCTTCCTCTGTATGCCAGAGGGTACAAGCAAGACCTCATGGAGTATTCCTTCAAGATGCCCTCTTTTCTAGGAAATAGCACCTAAATTTGCCATGTGTTGATGAGTCTTAAACCTTGAAGTGTGAGAAGGACTAATTGTGGTCCTCTTCTATATCATAAAAACATTTAATTAAGAGTTCTACTTCATTTAGCATAATTGTAGAACCTTTTAGATAGTTTTCAGTAAGTAACGATTTTAATAGCTGTAGAACAAGTGGGTGTCTAATTACTGCTGCCAGTTTCTTCCATTTCTTACTTCTGTAGGATAAGCAGTATTTTGTTTTTCCTTTTAATAATTTTCATGAGGTAAAATAGTTGAACTCTTTACTTCATTAAGGAATGAAGAGTGTTCTTTATTTTAAAAAATAAGCACTTTATTATAAAAATTTCTTGAACTTATAATCATTCTTAAAATCTTTAATAGTGATTTTATGTATGCTGAACATCTTTAGATTGATTTTTTTAATGATAAAACTTGTCATAAAGCAAGTAATACTTGCTTTTAATACTTGCAAATAATACTACTTTTTATAACTGAAAATACTTCATGTCTTTTCTGGCCATAATGTGATTCATTTATTTTTAGATTTTGAGTTTTATGTTCCTTGCATGAAAAATAGAAAACAAATTTTTGAAATTCTTCACTGCATGCCTGCTCAAATATAACTTGCCCACACATCTTCTTTTTAAAATAACTTTTAAATCTCAGACATTTGGGGGTGAAAGGTGGCATTTTGACTCAGAAAGATAGAAGAGAATGCTTGCACTATTTAAAACCAGACTTCGTGAAATGATGCTGTTCTTGGATGAATTAACTACTATTTTCTCCTGCAGAGAGCTGCTGCATTGTGGCTTTACTCCTTTTAATATTTTAATCTGTATGAACTGCTTTTTGTTTTTATAAAATAAGGTTATTATTCAAAATTTCCTAAGGAGGAAAGAAAAACAGTTGATTTGTCAATCTGTATTTTGATTTACATTGAATACTTTTTATTATTCCTTCCAAACAGACACTCCTTGAATATGCAGAGAAGTGGAAAACTTCAGAAGACCCTTTACCTTTATTGGAGGTATACACAGTGGCTATCCAAAGTTACGTGAAAGCCCGACCTTATCTTACCTCTGAATGTGAAAATGTAGCTTTGGTTCTGGAACGCTTGGCATTGTAAGTAAACTTTTGAGTAAATAAAAAACTTAGATTTAGCTTTTTGTTTTAACTCTGCATCTCAGGTCTTATGATAGTTTAATTTTAAATAGTTATAGAGAGTCTACTGATAATATTAGGATTATTTATCTTATTTTACTTTAAATTTTAATAATTATTTGTATCCTTACAACTTTTTGTTTTTTTAGAAGCTGTGTTGAACTTTTGCTGTGTCTGCCTGTTGAATTATCTGATAAGCAGTGGGAGCAATTTCAGACACTGGTACAGGTGAGAATATTTACCTACTAGATTTAACATAGGTATATTTTATGGCGATTTTCTTTATTCTGAATAAATTATTTACAGTTAAAATGTAAAAGATTTAAGTGATGACAAACACTAATTGCTGTTCTTATTAACAGTGATGACTTGCACCTAGTCAGTACTCAAGATGTTTATTAAATGAATATATACACTTAAGTAGATTGATTGAATATTGCACAGTTCTTCAAGATCAAATAGTTAGAACTTTGCCACGGCAGTAAGAGAACACAAAAGAAAATGCCCTCATTTGTGTTTAGAAACAGTTAAAAAAAAAAGAAGAAACAGTTTAATTGCTGAAAATTGTGGTGTGCTTTATAAGAATTTAACATACCTCATTTAATCCTTATGAAAACTTTGTGGGGGTAGGTTATATTTTTTCCCATTTTAAAGGTGAGGAAACTGAGGCTCAGTTCTACAGTATATATTGGCCCCTACTTTCACAGCTAATATCAGACTAGTAATTTGAACCAAGATTCTTTACTCCATAGCCCATACTTTCTCCTGTATCTGAAAACACATGCTTTATCTCTTTACTTAGTGCCGTGATTCTACTTATAAAAGTACTGCATAGTTTAGCTCTTAGTTGTTTTGGAGTATTTCAAGAATATTAAATTTTGTTTAAGCACTAGATTGTGCTGGATATATTATAGCTTCAAGTAAATTTTGATTAATTGGTTAGTTTAAAAGAATGTTCCTGCCAGCTAATCTCAGAAAGTATAGTTGTCTCTCTATTCCTCTATCCAGAGTTCTTAAAATACCTTTTGGCCTTATGTTTTTGCATAGAAGAAATATTAAAAGTAGATTAGTCTCAGATTTTAGAAGCATGTGAAATAAACTATAGTTAGGCAGAAAAGTCAACTTTTCTATTTTAATATTAAACATTAAAATCTATGTCAAGTGCAGAATTCTTAAAGATAGGATTCATGTCTTTATACCATAGGATTTCACATAGTATTTTATACATAGTAGATACTTAATAACTGTTGAAAGTGTCTTGTCCTGTTTGTCACATTGCAACTAACTTTTTGATCATGCACTTTCTACTTCAGCATATCAATAACTTGTGTCTCAGGTTTTTTTTCCCTGCAAGTGGTTATTTTTAGGTAAATGATTGTTTCAGAACTATTTTCATAGTTTGGTACTCACATACACTCTACCACAGAATTAATTAAGTAGATAGTTTATATTGCAAATATAATACTGAATTCCTCATACTAATTTTGTTTGTCAGCATAAGGTAAACTTTGAAACTTTCCTTTTGAAATAGCACTACTTGATACTTTCTCACGTGTGTTAATGAGAAGGAAATAACTAAATCCCAGTGTGGTAGCTCTCGGCATTTGCTCAAAAAAAAACCACAAAAATCTTAAGGCACTTGAACTTGTTTCAGTGAGATTTTTATGGTTTTGAGGAATAGACTTTCAATACAAGCATAGCATGAGCTTGAAGAGTCTCCATGACACCCTGCTTTCATTCCAGAGCTCCTTCGGGCTTATTTTATGCTGGCCTTTTAACTACGTTTGTCTCATTTGCCTCTGTTTTAACTGAACATTTCTCTGCCGCACTAGAGGATAGGCCCCGTAAACGCAGGGACTTGTTGCTCTGCTTCCCTGGTGCTTGGCCCACAGAAATTCTCAGTAAACATTTTCTGAATTGAATTTAAATTGTTGGGCTTTTGTGGCCTGAAAAATATGCCAGTTGCACGAACACTTGGAAACAAGTAAGCAAGGTTCAGTGTCAGCTTTAATAGGATATTGCTAAGACTTTGCAGTCTTACAAATGTATGAAAAGGCATACATTTAGTTTTCATAAGTCCCTTTTATTGAAATACGTGTGTATAAGTTGTCATTTAGGCCTTGATGTAAATTTGTCATCTGTTAATGGTAGAAGTTTTTTGGAAAATTTTTTTACTAACAGGATATAAAATGTATAAGGTCTTTCATGCTATGGATATTCTGATAGCTTCCTCGAGAAATAACTTCACTGTTGATTTAGATCTTGGGGGAAAAATAACATGAACTTATTTCTAGAAATTTATTTTATTTATTTAAAATTTATAATTAGTATAATCCTTATTCTTGAGATTCATCTTTAAAAATCAGAAAGATGCAGCACTTTGTAATGTGACATGAAAATTTTAAGATTAAAGTCTTATTTTTCAAAAGTTTAGTATTATATTTAAAGGCTGATAAGCTTGGTTTTGAAAATCTGTTGTAATTCTTTGGATGTTTATTTAATATTTATAGGTAGCTCATGAAAAGCTGATGGAGAATGGCAGCTGTGAATTGCATTTTTTAGCTACTCTAGCTCAAGAGACTGGGGTGTGGAAAAACCCGGTACTGTGCACTATTCTTTCCCAGGAACCATTGGATAAGGATAAAGGTAAATTTTCTAGAGAGAAGAGAGAAAGAAAAAGAATCATTAGACTAGAGAAAATAAGTACTTAAAATTGTTTTGATATAATCCCAGAATATTCCAAGAAGGACCATTTTATTTAAGTTTTATATGAGGTGCTTGAGGCCCTTCACCTTTTTTTTTTAAATTGGGGGAAGATGTATTTATAGGGTTATGTAATCTTAGGGTAACAGAGAAACTCAGTTTTTTTCTCAACATTATTTTATCAGAGGAATTCCCTCTGTGACATCCTGACAGGTGGCAATCTAGCTTATATTTGATAACTTATTTGACAGATGAGAAGCAAAAGTAGGGTAGTGAAACGATTTTTCTCAAAATAGATAAGATTAACGCTAGTAACTGTAAAGTCTTCTGCCTCTAAGATTAGTACTCTTTCTCAAACAGTTTTTTCTCAGACTTATTTTATCCTGCTTTATTATTATTATATGAGCTTAGGCAATAAAGATCCCAGTTAAACTGAAACTGACAGGTGTCCTACTAGAAATAGATGGCTAAATCACTAATATGTGTAACACTTAATGTTCAGAGTTCAAAAACTGTATGTGCTGTGAAGAAGAGCACATATTATCATCTTTGATATTTTCTTGAGATTGTTTAGGAAAGTGCTCAGATTTCACCCTAAGTTTTCCCAAGGTATTTAACTAGAGAAATAAATAAGTTTCTTCCATCGTTCATTGTCGCTTTCCTTGTTGGTTGACGCCAAAGCTTAGGCATTTTGCTCTGTGATAGCAGTTTCTGAGGCTCTGAGAAAGGAGTAAACTCACCGTTGGTTAGCTCTTCTGGTGCTTTGACATTTACCAAAAGGCTTCTCAGCTCATCTCCAAACTTCTCACGGAGCTGACTCTTCCTGCCTGACTCCTCTCTCAACATTTCCCCACCTTTCTGGATAGTTTTAGCAGTGTTGTCTGGTTCTTGGCATTCACTGAAAGTTCATTTGTGTTACTGCCCTTGGTGTATTTCCACAGATTAGTTACATTATTCTTAGAGAAATAGATCCTCATTATTTAAAATAATAAGAACATTTAAAGGTTGAGAGTCTTAGGGACTTTTTGCCTTTGGTGTGTTATTTTTTTATCGCTGGTGTATTACCACTATGTTTTTGTTTCTATAATTAAATTCTACTTTTTACTCTTCTCAGGTTTAGAAATAGTGGATATAATATATTAATGATACCAAATTACACTGTATAGTTATTGCTATTTGAAATGTGCTTTTATATGCCTGGTTTCTTTTAATCTTCACAATGATCCTGTGGAAAAGTAGGATCTTTTTTTGTCCCTCTTTTACAGGTGAGAAAATACAGGCTCAGAAAGATTAGTTGTCTTTTCTATATCACAGTGCCAGTGATGTGAAGTAGAGCTGGGAATTGGAGTGACGTCCCCAGCTCTGTCCTTTTTATATTATGCCATGTTGCACCCAGCCTAATAAAATAAAATCACACCTAACTTAAATAAAGATTTAACTCCTTTTTTCTGTTGTCAGTTTCTGAAAAGCATCTTTGCCAAACTCACACATTATGCTAATGCAGAAAAATGGAACCTTTACCTTTGCAGAGATTTAAAATTTACCTTAAAAGAATATGTGCTCAGTGTCCTTTCTTGTTTCAATGCACCTGACATTGTTTCTGTAACAGATGTCTGCCCATCCCTGTGCTCCTTTATTTCATGATCCTCACCTGGCATCGCTACTGGAATAATTTGGGTTATAAAGCAAAAGGAGCTTCTACAGTAGCAGATAGACTGGAGGTAGCCAGATCTTAGTAAGACTTGTGACGTAACCAGAGAGGTGTTCCGTGACTGAGAGACTGCAGCTGTGATCTTTATTTGGCCCCGTTATTTAGACCTGCTTCTTTGGTGGGAGTTACTCTGTGGGTAATCATATCGACTCGAAGTATATGTTGAAGTAATTAAAATGTTACGCATGTACACTGATTTATTTACATTTTCAAACTGGGCAGTTGTTCAGCATGTGGGACTTAGGCTTTTTCTGTGATATATCCAGACCCTTGGTTTAACCGCTGCTGGCCTATGGCAAGTTTGATAAGAGCTAGAGCTCTGCCAGTAATAGGTACACTGTAATAGGCTATGTTTGTTAGTTTGTTTATAGCAAAGCGTTGGAAGTTTTGATGTAGTATTTGAACAATGGATAATCAACTTAATTCTGATTTATAACTAATTTTTATTGACTAATTTTAGAACTGCTAAAGCCAGGTGGCTCAGTGGTAGAGAATCCACCTGCAGTGCAGGAGATCTGGGTTTGATTTCTGGGTCAGGAAGATCCCCTAGAGAAGGGAACGGCAGCCCACCCCAGTGTTCTTGCCTGGAGAATCCCCATGGACAGAGCAGCCTGGCAGTCTGTAGTTTGTGGGATCGCAAAGCGTTGGTCGTGACAGCACACATGCACAGGCCAGCTGAACCAAGACATGTTCTTTGGTTTAGGGATTGAGGGTGTGTGGGACTCAACTAAAAATGCTGGTTTCACTTTAAGGTTGTAGTACCCTAGAATAACGTAACTCTAATAATTAAACCAGTGTAATTCAAGTAGATGGCCTTTGACTATCACAGGAACTTCAGGCTTACATGTTACAGCGCCTTTCATCTCAGAATTGGAAAGGCACTGAATGATCATTTATTTTTTACTCAATTTTAACTCCCTTCTAAAACATCACTCACTGGTAAATGAATGGGCCTTTGCTTGAACACTTATAGAGAATGGTAACTATGTAATTCACTCCGTTAATAGCTGCTGTTATATTAGATAATCTTTATTGTGTAAATTGTGAAGATCTATGTACTTAGAGTTGCTCTCTTTTGGATCTAGTGCTACCCCTAAAGCCATGCATACCTAACAAAGTACAGATCCCTCTAAAGGGACTAAAAGCTGTCCCTTTTTTTGTTGTTGTTTTGTTTTGTTTTGTTTTTTTAGTGTTTTATTTATTTTTTATTAGTTGGAGGCTAATTACTTTACATGTGGGGTGACTTTAAGTATACAATCGTGATTTCTGACTTCCGTGCATCTTGTTTGTTGTTCATGTGTAATTCTCAAAACTTAACGTGAACCCCAAGTACAATCTGGCCAGCTCTGAAGTCACGGGCACTTCCATCCTCTTCATCTTAGTGTGACTTATGAAGACATTACCTTTTTGGGTGGCCTTATCATTCTTGAAACTCAGTGAGGTTACTAAAATCACAAAAAATTTTTAAAAAAATACATAGTACTCAAATTATTTGCATTTTTATACATAGTATTTTGGCATACAAAGTATTTTTTTCCTTTTTTCTTAAATTTCAAAGTGTTAAATGCATTCTCTCTCTGCAGCTTGTCCATATTATGTTAAATCTTGGTTTTGTTAATTCCAGGGTTTTGTCTTTCCAAGTTTAAGCAGATATTATTAGCATATACTGTGTTGGCATCCAGGTTCTTGATAATGACCATCAAGAAGGTGATACCCAAAAACCTAGCCCCTGGAATACTTAGAGAAATTGTCTTGTTTGCTTTGAGTCTTTCGGCCAGTGCCCTTTGATGATGGCTGTTTCACCACATAGGCCTGTTTCCTTGTGTCTGGTCCATGGCCTTCCTTTTTATCTCTCAGGATGCTGTGATGAAAGACCGCAAGAGCTATTTGGCTAGAGTTATGTTAAGTAAGGTTGTTTACTGTTGAGGTTAGTCTGACATTAATGTTTTTTAAAATATTTTTGTTTATTTATCTGACAGTGCCTGGTCTTAGTTGCAGTGCACAGAATCTTCATTGCATCGTGCGAGACTTCCAGTGCTGCTCACGGGCTCTAGTTTGGCGCAGGGGCTCAGTACCTGTGGCTCAGGGCGTGTGGCTCAGTAGCTGAGGCGCAGGGCCTGGCTGCTCCAGGCATGTGGGGTCTTAGTTCCCAAAAGAAGATTGAGCCCATGTCCTCTGCATTTCAAGGTGGATTCTCACACACTGGGCCGCCAGGGAAGTCCCTGACCTAATCATATTTTAAATGAACTATTTTAGAATAGTTTTCCAAATACTCCACACCAGTTTTCCCAACTGTGATTGTTGTACATTAGTATGATCTATTTGTCACAATTAATAAAGCAGTATCAATACTTTGCATTAACTAAAGTCTGTACCTTATTCAGATTTCCCTGGTTTTTACCTAATATCCTTCTTCTGTTCTAGGATCCCATCCAGGATATCACATTACATTTAGTCATCATGTCTCATTAGGTTCCTCTTGGCTGTGACATTATTTTCAGACTTCCCTTGTTTTTGGTGATCTTGTCAGTTTTGAAGAGTGTTGTAGAATCTCCCTCAGTTGGGATCTGTCTGATGTTGCTCGAAGGATTAGTACTTGGCTTATGGGTTTGGGGAGAAAGATCACTGAGGCCCAGTGCCATTGTCATCACACCAGAGGTACCTATAATCAACATGACTTCTTCACTGTTGGTGTTAGCCTTGGTCAACTGGCTGAGGTTTTCCTTCACTGTTGGTGTTGGCCTTGGTCACCTGGCTGAGGTAGTGTGTAGGTAGTGTGAGGTCGTAGATGGGTTTTCCTTCACTGTTGGTGTTAGCATTGGTCACCTGGCTGAGGTTTTCCTCACTGTTGGTGTTACCCTTGGTCAGCTGGCTGAGGTCGTGTGACGCAGTGGGTAGGTTTCCTCACTGTTGGCGTTAGCCTTGGTCAGCTGGCTGAGGCAGTGTGAGGCAGTCAGTAGACTCACTGTTGGTGTTAGCCTTGGTCAGCAGGCTGAGGTAGTAGGTAGGTTTCCTCACTGTTGGTGTTGACGTTGGTCAGCTGGCTGAGGCCGGTGCCTTTCGGGCTTTTCTCTGTGAAATTATTCTCTCCACCTTTCCATGTTGTGCTCTTTGGGAGGAAGTCACCACATGCAGAGGCCACACTTAAGAGCTGGAGAGTTAAGCTCTACCCCTTTGAGGAGGCAGTATCTACACAGATTATTTGGAGTTCTCCACAGGCAATTTGTCTTTT